TGACACAATAGCTGAATTCCAATGCCCCGATGCTTGAGTCTGGCTGGGTCTGAATCTGGCTTTACCAGTTTCTTGCTGAATGACTTTTGACCAGATTCATTTCCCAATCTGTTTTCTCATTAACTAAATGAGGAGAACAGTAACCTACCTCAGCTTGTTGAGAATATAATGAGAACTTGAAGCAGTGCTTGGCACAGTAAGCTCTACTTACCAGAAAGCTGTTCATTCTGGGAATCCCAATTCATTGAGTCCTTATGTCACTGGGGCTTTCCACCACTTAACTGAGCTATTCTGGTTAGTAAACTGCTACTCTATGAAAGGATGATTTTTTGTCTTTTCAAAGTTGATAACCCTCACTTCTCCAAAGGTGCCAGAGCTTTGTGGACATTCTTTAGCAACCCCTAATTTCCCTTCTCCTGTGGGTCCAACATATGAGACCAATGAATGGAGATCAGAGTTTGGAGCAGACTCTAGTCTACCAATTCAATGGACACAGTAGTAACACCAAGGGCAAAAGCAATGTACTGGTAGTTAATGAACTCCACCCCAGAACCCTTATTGGCTTTTACTGGTTTTTTTTTTTTGGTCCCTGATGTCAGGCCCTTATTTCCAAGTCACTGCTTATAACTGAAGCTTGATTTGCAAACATAGGAACCATTAACCCAGTTTTACTGGGAAGACTATGATAAACATCTGGAAAAGTATGAAGCCATGAATAATGTTAAGGCCATTCTTTTTAGAACAGACCAATTGTGGCTAGGCTTAGCATAATGTGATTTTCCTGACAGGCTAACTCTACTCAAGCCTTCATTCTTGATTTTTGGTTAATTACTTACAAGCTGCCCACATGCCTAACAGAGTCATCTGATTGCCAGACTTAATTAAAATGACCCAAACAGAACACTTACTAACTTTCCTGATGTGAAATGAATAGAGTTTTGCCTAAGATTACTGTGCCTCAGGGTCAGTCCACAGGGCCCTGAATTCTAGCAGAAAAGCAAGAATACTGCTTTTTGTAACTATCTCTCAATACACCTTCCAAGTTTCAGTGACCGATACTTGCTTTGATAATATGGGAACTCTCTTGATTCCACTTTCAGTGTAGTTGAAGTTTCCACTGTCAGCTTCTTCTAGTCAGTGTTACGCTGGCTTCTTGTGCTCTACGCTTTAGTATAATATAAGGTACGAGTCCAAACTTTTTTTTTTAAGAGTTTGATCAGTTTAGTTGCATGTCAGTCAGCCGCCTACTCACTCAGTGTGACTAAGATGACCTAAGTAAGGAATGTCTCAGGTTCGAGCAGGGACGCACCCTGACTGATGGGTCTTAAATGACAGCAAAACTATTAAGGCTCTCTGGTTCTCCTTTTGACTCCAGGTGAACTGCCCTCACCGAATGAGCAACTGCCCAAATCTGCTTTGTAAGACACAGAACTAAGCAAAAGAGCACTTAACACCTGCCCCATAAAGTTGTCCCATCACCCAGGACCACCTGTTTTCAAAGTTGAGTTATTTAGTGAGCAGTCTAAGGCCCGTTTTAGTGTGCAAGAATGATTCTTGTAGTTTCATCCCTCTAAAAACTCTAAGGGAAAACTCTGAGTACTGTGTTTACCAGCTTCCGAATTCGGTCCAAGACGAGGTCGATGATCTCCTTGCCAATGGTGTAGTGCCCCCGGGCATAGTTATTGGCAGCATCTTCCTTGCCTGTGATGAGCTGCTCAGGGTGGAAGAGCTGGCGGTAGGTGCCAGTGCGAACTTCATCTGGAAAAGGAGAGAACCAGTGGCCCCATCACTGACAGTCTGCAGAGCCCAAGTGGCCCCAGGGAGCCCCCAGGGCAGGCCTCTTCTGCCAGACCCCTGGGACCTCACTCACATCACTGAAGGCCGAAGGCCACTCACCAATGACGGTAGGTTCCAGGTCGACAAACACTGCCCTGGGCACATGCTTGCCCGCGCCCGTCTCACTGAAGAAGGTGTTGAAGGAGTCATCTCCTCCCCCAATGGTCTTGTCACTTGGCATTTGGCCATCGGGCTGGATGCCGTGTTCCAGGCAGTAGAGCTCCCAGCAGGCATTGCCGATCTGGACGCCAGCCTGGCCAACGTGGATGGAGATGCACTCACGCTGCCAGAGCAAGAAAGGGAAAATGTCAGAGGTAGGACACTCAGGAATGATTCACACCTAAATGACTAACTTTCAGGATAGTCACCTTCCTGGAGGACATTCCCACCCAGGCACTATTTCACAAGCAACAATCTTTGTTGAAGACTAATTTAGAGAAAATCCTTTGAAAACCAAAGATATGTTAATGAACTCCTGGACCAGACCAGACCCTTGCTCTGTAAACACATTAGATATTCAAGGTCAGGTTTCTACCATTTTAGAAGGACATAAGCAACTCTACAGCAATAGATTCCCCATCCACCCCCACCTAGGGTAGTAACATGCCTGCTGATTCCTTCAAGGCATGCAAATTCCTTCTTCCAGCTCTGATTCACTCTGCGTGATTGTGTAACTACTGAGCTCATTCTGGTCCCTCTTTAATCCTATTCTTCAAAAGACAGAGCTTTTCCCTTTAAAACCAGCTTAAACCAGCAAATACCGCCATGACTCATGGAGAAAATGCCAGATAAGCAGCAGTTAGCTGTATTTTAAAAACTGTGGACAGAGGCAGCTTTTTAACCCTGTGGAATAATTTAATCGTAAGGAAGAACATTTTTTCTTCACTATCTTGAGGGGGGAGGGTGGTGGAGACCCATGGTAATTAAAACTAGAAATGTCACCAAGACTTTATGAATAGCTTAAGAACTAGCTGTTTCCTGGCAAAATGTAAATGTATCTCTGGCACTGTGGAAAAGTCTATCGTTTGAAGAATTCAATGACAGTGAGGAAATGTTTTCCTTTACTTGCTAAACAAGGTAATTTATAAGTTACCAAACTCATTCCTGCTCAGTAAAATAAAGCAATGAACATAAGGCTGTTTGTTGTATTTCATCTCAAATTAGATTAGGTACTGGCAGAGGATTTTGAAAATATTGACACCAAATATCTCCCATTACATTTTCCCCAAGTTAAGAGGGTTTCAAATTTTAAAAGCTGCTAATAGGAAACTAAAGAAAATTCAACACCAGCTAAGACCTCAAAGGGCCTACCTAGTTTCATAATCCTGAGATGATAAAAACCCAAATCACTCACAACCTTTGACCTAGGGCCCTCCTTCCCAGCTATACTCTCCATGAACAATCATGATCTCTTGACCACAGCAGGAAGGTCAGTATTACCTGCATCTGCTCATCCAGCTCTAGGGCTGCGGGAGAAAGGGAGATGTTTGCTTGAATGCACCCATGACTATTCACCATTGCATCATGTTTACCTTCACCTGGACTTTGGAAATCTCACAGCTGGAGAAAGCTGGTGAGAACCAGAGCTGTGACTAGGACAGCCCTAAGCGCAAGGAGATGAAAGATCTGAAGTCCTCTCATTTCAGTTCTCTTCGACTGAAGCCTTTTGCGCCCCAAACTTACTTCTATGGTGCCCAACAGCGTAAACTGCTTTTTCATTTAGACTGTGGCCACTGCTTGCCCTCCTCCCTTTGCTAACTCGGGAGATGGAGACAAAGGGGACAGTCGTTTGTCTGGTTTTAAATTCGTAAGCTGCCACAGTCTCGTTATATAAAAAAACATTAATTGAGCCAGTTTTGCCTAAACAGGTTTGCTGCTCCTCTTCTGCCTTTAACAGCCTCGCTACTTTCTGAATTACACTTTTACCAGCACGTTTCTAGTTTTGCAAACTGAAAAGCACTCAAGCACGTTGTTACAGACATACTTTTGCTAACTGTGATAGTGTCTGAAGAGGGTCAATGGGGGACTATTCACTGTACTTTTTTTTTAGACAATATTTTGTAACATTTGATACACAAATACTTGTTTAAGAACATTTTTTGTTAGACCTGCAACAGATGTTCTCTAAAACAGCTGTTTCCAATAACTAGGGAAGCTGTATTGAAAATACTCAAGTTGTGTATAAACTTTAAAACTAAGACAGGTTTTACAAGAAAATAACCTTTTATGGACTTGTTTTTGAAAACCTGGCTTAAGTAGAATGCTATAAATACCCCCACTAAATTAACACTAGAAATGCAGGATTAGACAACGTGATCTTTCCCTTCAAAGGAGGAGCCTGCCTACATCCTTCAGGTGGATGGATGCAATTGGAAGCTCTCCGCCGAGCCCGGCCGCAGGTGACTCAGCGGCGAGTCACAGGGCGCTGAACAGGGGGTGCCAGGAATTGTTTGCATCTTTCGTGGGGGAAGCACACAAAGTGCTCCCAGGGGTCCAGAGCATAGGTAGTAGGCAGATGAGGTTACTTGGGGAAATATAGGGGAGAGGCTTTCGTTTCCAAAAGTCCTTGGGCGCCAGTGTGAAAGTTCCCTGGCCTTCCTGGGGCGATGCCCTCGCACTACGATCAAAAGGGTTTCCCACCTCCACCGAGGAGTCTGCCCGTGAGACTTAGCTTTCCCAGCCTGGCCACCAGAAGCCAGGTTTGCCTGGAGGTCTCTGGGACGGGGTCCCACGTGCAACCTGGGTCCCGCCGCCCCATCGGACTGCCCACCCCTCCCCCCGCCACCGCCCGAGGACCTCCCCCCCCCACTCACCATGACTGAGATTTGGCAGGGCTTTGTGAGGCTGGAGGAGGCGAGGGGACGGCGACGTCTCTCCCACTAAGAGACTACCAAGGAGTCCGGGGGAGTAGTGAGCGACCAGCCGCCCGAGGAACCCTATATACCCCTTTCCCCGGCCACGTGTCCGGAGGGCGGTCCCCGGCACCTCCCCGGCTCCCGTGGTACCGCCTCCGAGCCCCGCGGCCCCAGCCGGACGCCCGACCGCACCCTGCCCGCGGAGAGAGGCGGGGCGCGCGCGGCGCTGATTGGTGGGTTCAAAAGTTCAAACTAAACTCTTCGGAAGGAGCCGGAACTAGGAAGTGAAGGAGACCTCCTGGGGCGGGAGATCTGGCGGGTCGGGTGGGGAAGAGGGTGGAGACGGCGCCTGGAGGTGGGAAGGCGGAGCGCCTGCACTGTGTTCTGGATGCGGGGGCGTCAGGTGGGCAAATCCTAAGCGAGGAGACGTACCGGTTGAGGGGAGTCCCAGGCGCGCAGTCCTCCCGCTCCCGGCTGCCCGCTGCGACCCCGGGCCCAGATCCTGGAGCGTCGGCCCGCCGGTCACCGCCGCACAGCTCCCTGCAAGGCCCGGCCTCCCGCTTCCGCTGGCGCAGCCCGGCTCCCCTCGCGCGAAGGATTTCCAAGAGAAAAGGCCTTGCTCCCGGTTCCAGGTCTTACTAGTAACTGGTCTGAAGGCCTTTCTCTCTCACATTTTTCATTGCTTTTCTTTACTCGTTTTCCTACCTCCTTCTAAACGAACCTTTTGGTTCCTAACAGTCTCCTTCCAGCTGATGCAAAAGCAGTCCTTCCAGTTCATTATACTAGGTTCCACCTTTTAACGATTTATGCAGAGCCATTGGCTTTTCACACTGTATTTCACACGTTGTTAATCCATGCCACAAACCCTGTGAGTTATCCCTGTTTTACAAGTGAGGAAACTTGGGCTCCAAAGAATGAACTAATTGAAGGTCACATAGCTGGAGTGGCGGGGCTGCCCTTAAGCCTTCACTACCTTGTACAATATACCAAATACATTGCTCTTATCCTTGCAATGATTTTTGTCTCACAAGCATCGTTCGTTTCCGTTGCTTTTCTACTCTACAGTTTCATCGTATCTTAGCTCTTAAATTCCTTAACCATCTCTAGGTGATAGTTTATGGAAAAAGAGAACGAAAAGTGCCTGCTGTACAAAATAGAGGCTACAGGGCTTTTTCCTGAAATAGGAAGTGGCAAAATTAAAGCAAAAATGGTTTTGGATACCAAATAGGCAGAACCCATGATACATCCCAACTCATATGCACAAAATGGATACAGTGGCAATAAGTGCAGAGATTACTTTTCAAATTACAGGACATAGTTCACCAAATGCTTACTGAGCACCTATCGTGTGGCAGGATATTTTGACATTTGGAATAATTGGCATCTTAATCTGTTGCTAAATATTTCGGTCTTAATTAGAGTTTTTCATTTCATTTTTTATTCATTCCAAAAATATATTTAGCAGTTTCTAGATACTCAGGAGTGTGTATGTGAACAAAACTGACAGATCTCTGCCTCAATGAGCATATGTTCTGGAGGGGAATGGGGAAGGAAGAAAAACAGCAAACATAATAAATTATATTTACATTTATATTTACATAATTTGTTAGAAGGTGAAGAGTGCTATAGAAAAATAAAGAGCAAAGTACAGTAGAATGAGAATGCTGGGAGGGAGGAGTGGGGGTAAACAGTATGGTTAGGATCAGCCATCATGAAAAGTGAGATTTGACAAAGACCTGAAGGTCATGAGAGGTTAACTGAGTGGCTTCCTGGGAGAAGAAGAGGATGCAGAGGAAATGGGAGCTGGACCTTGCATCTTCTTGTAAGTAAGCCATTGCCAGTCCTGTGGCTTTTATTCTGACATAGATAGTGTGGGGTTCAAAACATAGAAGTGGCATGAACTGATAATCTTTTTTTTAAAGATCACTGTGGTTGTGTTGAGAATAAATTACGGTAGGGCACAGGTAGAAGCCGGAAGACACAGTGAGATAACTCACTGCAGCAGTTCTTTTGGCAGATGATGAAGACCCAGATCAGAGTGGTGGCAGGGGAAGTGGTTAGAGTTGGCCATACTCTGAAGGTAGGGTCAGAATGATTTCTTAAATGTCACGTGTGAAGGAAAGAGAAGCCAAGGATTACATTTTAGCCTGAATAACAGACATGGATTTGCCATCAACAGATGCAAAGGGCTGACTATGGGACGGGATTGGAGGGGAAGGATATCAGGTTGGTTTTGGTCGTGTGAAGCCGAGATGTTGATGTCCATGTGGAGGTGGAGATGCCCACATAGCTGGATAGGGGGAGTCTGCATCTCACGGGAGAGAGAGCTGGGGAGAGAGATACATCTACATGCCATCTTAAAGTCTTGGCATTGGGTGGCATCACAAAGGGAGTTAGTGTAGAAATAGGTGAGAGGAGGTCCAAGGACTGCACTCTGGGAGAGGAGACAGAAGCAACGGAGGACCCGGAGAAGGAACATCAGTGTGACAGGAGGAAGCCCCAGAGCGTGCGGTCCTGGAAGCAAGGAAAAATGGGTGATTAGTATCAAATGCCAACAGTAGGTCAAGTATGATGAGAACTCAAAAATGACCACTGGATTTAGTCACATGGAGGTCACTAGTAAAAGCTGATGAGAACGGTTCAGTGTGGCAATTTAGAAATAATAGGCATTTTATTTTTAGATTCTGTTCTCATATGATTCTTAACAAAATACCTTTATTTTTCCTCCTCTCACTTCCTATCACCTCATATTCAAGCAGATAGCACCTAAGCAACCACAACAGGCTTAAGGGCTTTGCAGCCCTAATTACCTTGGTTTGAATTCTTTTTTTGTTTTATAGTTGCGAGTCCTTGAGAAAATCTCTTAATCTCTAAATCTCCTCCCTTATATAATGAGGATAATATACAACTCCTAGATGGATACACTTTTCTGAGGAATAAATGAGGTAAATTACATAGCACACATAGTAAAGCACTAAGTATAAAACTGGGAGCTGTTACCGTTGGAGGTGGTGGTGGAGGAGGACAAAATGAGAGGTGTAGAGAGAGGCATACTCTTGAACTGTAAATCATTTTAAGCATTGAGATCCATACTTAAGTTCGCTACCCCCTGATAGATTTTTTTTTTTTGCAGGGGTGGGGGTAGGGGAGTGGGAGGAGATCTCTTTCCTTGGTGGATAGTTAAAAATTTAACTTTTATGTAAACAAATCTCTATGGCTCTAAAAATCAGTGAGGAAAGGCAGAAACTCATCTTACTTTCTAGCTGAAATTTTCCAGAATTCACCACAAACAAGTTGAGTTATTAACAGCTTGTGTTCTGCCATTTTGGGTGAAATAACTTTGGATGGGCATTTCTCCTTGGGTCCCAAGTTTTGCACGTGAAGTGTGAGGGGATTAGGCAGGATCATCTCTAAGGCTTCTTCCACCCCTAAGACTCTGAGTCTGTGACTTGAGGCTTCTGCTGTACATGTAAGCTGTATACAAAAATAAGCAAAGTTAGGGCTTTCTTGTTCCCTCCTGGCGTGAGCCAGGAGCTCTGTCTGTCCTCTCACTGTGTCTCTCTATAAAAGCCTCCCTGGCTTTCCTACCTTGAAAAAAAAAAAATCAAAGTTGAAAACATGTTTCATTCAGTCAGGGGCTTCCAAGAATCACGAGCATATTAGCTAAATACTGACAGATGGTGTCTTACAATGCTTTAGAGAAAGAAGTGTTGCATAGCTATTCTGGCTCAGGGAACTTGGACTTTAAACCACCGTCATATAGCATGCCCACAAAACACTGGGAAAGAGAAAAGAAATCAGATAAAACTGAACCTTATATTTTTTCAGTCTATTCCTATTTTTAACGCTAGGATACTGGTGATACTGAAGAATTTATTTGTGTTCAGTTACCATTTACATACAGATAATAATGGTACAGAGATACTTTGTGCTCAAATAGCAATTTATAAAAAAACTTTGTGCTCAAATAGCAATTTATAAAAAAATTTCCTACTCCAATTGAGCCTTGGAGGAGTTTTCAAAAATAAGTTTTTAACAGCAGTGTTTTTTATGGAACTGTGGGAAACAAGGTCCTAGACTCAAAATAATTTGCCCTAAACTTTAACAAGAGGTAGAACCCAGAATAAATGCCTAAAATGACAGTTGTCTCTTTTACTTGGAGGACCGCCATTAACCTGGTACCCGCTCTAGTTCACAGGGATAGGATAGGGTATCCCTGTGATGTTGTTTTAAGGGGAGGCTACTATCAACATAACAAGAAAAAAGAATTTGCCCTACTTTTAAGACCTCCAAAGGGGCTAGAACTCCTTGCAATTAAGTTCAGGCACCTTCTTTACAGTAAGTGTGTTTTAAGTCTGTGTATTTCTCAGCAGTTTGTTTTTTCCTCTTATCCCTCGTAAATACAGAAGAGGAGGACGTTATTTGCTAGATAATATGCTGTTTTCTTTTATGGGAAAAGTAATCCTTAGAGTCCTTAACTTTCACTTACAGCTCCTTTTATCTTGCAGTATTTTCAACCTTTATAACTTTCTTATACATTCTTCCAAAGTTCTCCTCTGCTGTAACCGAAGCAGCATTTTAGCATTTTGGACTTCTTCCCTGTCATCAGGACTTTTTACATGAAATGCTAGCTCCATTCTAGGAGATTAACAGAGAAAACTGGCTTTTATCTCCAAAATTTCACATTTATTTCCACTGAGAGGTCATTTCACTTGTTCTATTCTTTATATTCCCTAAAAGCACAATACTTAAAGAATCATTTCTTCACAGTGACTAACTGGAACAACTGAGTAGGCTGTTTTCCCTGTATTTCTACTCTGTATATCACAGCTAAACCTTGCTTCAAGCTGTTTCTAAACTGTCCTGCAGTTAATAACCATTCCCTTGATTCTCCCCACCCCCAATCCCTTTAGGATAGACAGGTAAAATTCTCTTGCAGAAAATGTCAAGAAACTACTCACATTCTTCAATTATCTACCTTATTATTCCAGTAAGTGGATCACTTCCTAGAGTCTGGAAATCTCTTCTATTTATAGCAATGTTTATTTAATTTAATTGTATTTATTCATGTACCTAACTCCCCGGAACCTGGGGCAGCCCAAAGAGGAAGGCCCCTGAGGGTTTTCTTTCCCTGTGACTGTAACTTCTTGCCAGCAGTTGAGATAGTGGGGGATTTACTTGGAGACTGTGACTCTGAGGATAATTACCCCTTTCACTTTTCTGGGTGTCTCTACCTGCCTCATCCCATCCCCCTCCTCCCAGGACACAGAGCCAGCTATTTTCAAGTATACAATTTGTTTTTTCCTACATAATTAGCACAGTTACCTCAACAGAAGGGGAATATCACTGCATAAATTATACATAGCTAGGAAATTTAGAGGCGAGGTTGCCTCATGTTACTCACGTAGCTGGTTTATTGGCTGAAAGCACTGGGCCTCTTCCAGTGCCTGCTCTTTCTCCCTATTTCAAGTCAGGGGCTGCTCCCTAATCCAAATCCCTTGATTCTTTTGTGCTAGTGTCCCTGCTCACTGGTGTGCTAGAGCCTACTAGAGCCAATTGCTTGCTTTTCAGGAATTTTGTGAACCATTTAGACATCATGTTGGTCGCTTTAAATCAGCAGTGGTGGCAATATTTGCACCATGGCAATCAGTGAATACTGTAAGTTAGGCTGTCACCCCCACTCCCCGCTGGTTGTTAAACATTTACCAGCACACCATGGCCCGTACTTCCATACTAGTCAAAGTCAGGACATTTCCCTTAGTTCTTTAGTCCTGGCATGAAAAGGTCTTTTTTTTTTTTTTTGTCTCAGAGCTTGGTTGCACCCTCCCCTCCCAGTCACCCAAAGCCCCACTTGGGCTCTCAGGCCTATGAAAGGGTCACCTCCTGGCCCCCTCCCATCCCAATCAGCTCATTCTTCTCCAACCTTTTAATTCTTGGGTTACAAAAGCCCCACCCCCTGTGACTGCCCACCCACTCCACAAGCCTCTCCACCGCTGGTACCAGTTCACCCTCTGGGCTTCCATCCCTGGACTAAGGGGTTTATTCTTCATAATAACCCGGTGAGGCAGAAGCCATCATTATCTCCACTTTATAGCAGAGGAAATAGGGGCTGATGGGGTTACATGTAACTTATCTAAATTCATACACTGAACTTAGGATCATGCTGCCTTGGGTCCAGTCTTCCTCTCTGGGATCCTCACCCCTTTTCTCAGGAGGTTGGCTTTATGTCTCTCATCTCTGAACCACTGTCTTCTCTCCAGAAACATTAATATGGAACCACTTTATATTTACAACTTTAATTATATGCTTATTTCCCCAAATCATCCAAACCTGGACTGATCTCCAAACCCTTCAGTTCTAAGACAAGTGAAGGAAGAATCCTACCATTTGGCAACAACATGAATGGAGCTAAAGGGTATTAAGCTCAGTGAAATAAGTCAGGCAGAGAAAGACAAGTACCAAATGATTTCACTCATTTGTGGAGTATACAAAGCAGGAACAAAACAGCAGCAGACTCACAGACTCCAAGGAGAAACCAGTGGTTACCAAAGGGAAGGGGTTGGGGAGGGGTGTGGGAAGGGGGGGAGAAGGGGATTAAAGGGCATTATGATTAATACACATAATGTAGGAGGGGTGCGTGGGGAAGGCAGGTAGTATAGCACAAAGAAGACAGGTAGTAACTATCGCATCTTACTACACTGATGGACAGTGACTGCAGTGGGGTGTGTGAGGGGGACTTAATATGGGTGAATGTAGTAACCACAATGTTGTTCATGTGAAACCTGCATAAGATTGTATATCAATGATACCTAATAATAATATTAAAAAAAGACAAGTGAAGGAAGGAGGCTGGTACAGAGCTCTACCAGATGTGGGCCTGTACTCACAGAGCTCTATTTTTAAAGCACTTTGCTATTTTGGTCCTCTAGCTCACATACTTTTTCCCTTACCCTCCAGCATATGTTGTTTTCATAGAGTCAGGAATATAAGCCATTTAGAAACCCTGAAAAGTCTTTGCTTGTTTCGGATAGATCAAGAGTTCCTCATTTTAAATTACATACTTCTTTGTTTTGGTAAGTTGTAGTCCCTACTGACCTCCTAAATGGGTTATGTGGAACAGACTGTAACTATAAAAGTCAGCTTGCTTACCCTGTTCCCTCCACAGCTCCCTTTATTTATACTGGACACAAAGGACAGTTTTCATATACTGTGGGAAAAAAAAAGAGAAGGAAGCAATTCTTTGTGTTCAAAACAAGAAACACATTTTACATTCAGGCTACTCTTTCTCTTTATTCTGCCTGAAACGACTAGTAGTAAACCAAAGTTGTTCCAGAGGAAAACAAATTAACCTGGAACATAGGTCACCTAACAAGGTATTAAACCTGTTTCCTTGATTGCTTTGGAGGGTTTCATAGCCTCTGGTTAGGGCCCAGACAGCCTGCAATGGACAGAAGGTTTGTGTTCCCCCCAAATCCTAACCTCCACTGTGATGGTAACAGGAGGTGGGACTTTGA